TAGTATTTTTATTGCGATTCTTGTTTGTACCTTTAATAGTAGTACTACTACTATAATGGGTATTGTCATCTTTGTTCTTATCATCATCACCACCAGCACCATTACCATCACCATCATCATCGGCACCATCATCACCAGCAAGATCATCAACAGCATCATCGTCATCATCACCAACACCATCACCATCACCATCATCATCACCATCACCGTCACCATCACTATCATCGCCATCACAATCGTCACCACCATCATCACCATCATCATCAGCATCATCATCATCATCATCATCATCGTCATCATCGTCATCATCCGGAACACCACCATCATCATCACCATCGTCATCATCACCATCATCACCATCAGCAACATTATGATCACCTTTTTCGTCGTCAGCCTCATGAGGTGGGGGCCGCTGCTCACGAACGTGCTGGTGTTCGCGCGCGCGACCGTCCTATTCCGCTTCCGCTGCCGCGCGCATTCCCACGGTTTGGCCGCTCGCCCCGTCTGCCTCTGGGGGCAGCCCGCGAGACTTGAGGACGACGACGACGGCGACGACGACGTCCTCGTCGGCCTCGACGTGAGGGGGTGGCGCGAGAGGGGGTGGCGCGAGAGGGGGATGCCGCGAGCGGGGGTGGCCTTCGAAGGCACTTGGGGGTTGGAGCCAGCTGCGTGGGGGCCGAGGTGGCCCCCCGCAGGCACTGGCCAGCGCGGAGGGGAGGAACACCGGGGGCTTCCCTTCGCCGCCACGGCGCTTCACGAGGGGAGCGAAACATGGCATAAACATAAAAACACTCGGAGGCCCGCGCGGATTTCTCGGATCCGCGCTGGACCCCCCTGGCGGCGCCTCTGGCGCCGCCCCTGGCGCGCTCCTCCGCGAGCGAGGGGGAAACTGAGAAGGAGCAGGCCTTCTCAGAGGAGGAGGAGGAGGAGGAGGAGGACGAGGAGGAGGAGGACGAGGAGGAGGAGGAGGAGGGTCAGGCGCGTATCCGAGAAATCCGCGCCTGACCTCCGAGTTTTTGTTCTTGGGTTTGTGTCCTCCTCCGTGCCCCCGCCCACGCTGCTCGAGGAGCGGGGGCAGGATGGGCCCCGCGAGGGGCCTGGGGGGCCCGAGCTTGCGCGGCTCCGCCGTGCTTCTCCCTCTTGACAGGTGTTTCTGGGATGCCACGTCGAGCATTCTCTACAGATTCCAGATTGGGCTCCAAGAGGCCCCCCATCCCACATCGCCCCGCTAGGAGGCCCTGTGGCTTAGCAGCTCGACGTGAAAAGCGCCAGCTTCCCAGCTGATGGTAAAGGGGGCTCCACGGTGCGACAGCCGACCCAGGTGTTTCTGGGCCCATCCAGCGCAGGCCCCGGGCCGCCTCCAGGCCTGGAGGGCTTCCTTGGGGGGCAGGGGGGCTTCTCAGAAGCCACCCCCGGGCTCCTCAGAAGCCTCCTCAGAAGCCTCCAGGGCCGTCCCCAGAGCCCCTCGGGGAAAGAAACGATCCGGACGGGAGGTTGTCCCTATTTTCGGCCTCTGGGGGCCTTTAACTGGCCCTCGGGACCGTCAACAAAACCATTCAGGATGAAGGACCGGTCCAGGGGAATGGGTCGAGACCTCCCAGGGTCGACGTACTGAGCAAATCATGACGTCGGGGGTCTGGGTCTCAGAGGGCCCCCGTGTTCTAAGAAATGCTCCTGCTTCTCAGAAGGCCCCCCCCCCCCACCTTCGCGTCACCCCCTGTGCGCACCGTCAACCGAGGGACCGGAACTGACAAGTCCACGCATGTTACCACCGCGCTTGGGTGCCCTGCGCAGCCATGCTGCAGCATGGCATGGCCGTGCCAGTGGCGTCGCATGGCTGCCGCGATGCCCCACGGAGGCCCTCTCCTGGCCCTCTTGGGGCCCTCTTGGGGCCCTCTCTGGGGGGGCCGTGGGGGTCCTCCGGGGCCTCTCGGGCCTGGCAGGGCCGCCTGCGATCTGATCCGATGCGGCTCGATGGGCGGACGGGGCCCGCGATGCCGATCCGCTTCGACTGGGCTCGACCCACCAGCACCGGCCCGGGCCAGCCAGAACGGGGCGCGGCGATCCGATTTCGGCTCGCTTCGGGGCGCTTCGTGGGCGATCCGATGCGCGTCGCGGTTTTCTCTGGCTCAGGCCGGCGTGGTGCCTGCTGGGGGTGTCCGGAGGCCGTCTTGGAGATTTTGTAATAAAGGGAGGGAGGTCTCATTTCGGGGGGGGTCTCTTCGAGGCTATCTTGGAGGGCCTGGAGGGGTCTGGGGACGATGTCTTGGAGGGTTCTCCCACGGGGGGGGGGGGTCTAAAACTTCTCGTCTGGGAGGGTTGGGACCCCCTCCCTTTTATTACGAAATCTGGGGTAGATTTTTTTGGGGGGGTGGGGTCCTCTCGGGGTGGCTCCAGATTACCAAGCCCTTTGACCGCCCGGGGGCGCCGTCCCTGGGCAGCCCGGAGGCCGCCCACCACCCCGTGGAGCATCGAGTAGTGCTCGTTCGAATGCCGCCGTGGCCTTCCGCGGCCTGCTTCGCATGGCGCCCTCGAGCCTGGCAGGGCTTCGGGTGGGCGGGGGCCGCCCCCCCCCCGCCCTCATGCAGTCCCGCCCGGCCTCCGCATGCCCCTCCCCCGAGCTGCACCCTGGTGGCGCCGCCTCCGGGGGGGCCTGCCTGTGCGCCGCCCGAAGCCTGACCACTCGAACCAGTGCAAGTGCGTTTGTGTGTGTGTGTGTGTGTGTGTGGGCCTCCCCCCCACGTCGGCGCTCCCTCCGCCGCAGCCGGTGACTTGCCTGAGCGGGCCCGGCTTCCTCTCTTCCCGTCGCGCCAGGGTCTCCTTCTCTCCTCGCGTGCACTGCGGCCCAATTTGCATCGAGCGCGCCGCACTGATGCCCGATCGCTGGAGCAGTGACCTCTGCCCAGCCGCCGACGGGAATAGTGTGTGTGTTTTCAATGCGCGTGTCAGCCGGCCTCTGAGGCCTCGTCGGGACAGCATGCCGAGGATGGCAGCGGTAGGCGAGCACGGCAAGTGCATCTGTCACGCGGTGCTGAGGTCAACACTGGGGGATTTTGCAGGGGCCAGAACCTTGGAGGTCTTCGGCTAGTCTTGGGCAGACTGGCGGGTGTTGTCAAGAAAACGTTTCGTTAATTCCCAGGCGATTCCGGGCGTTACTCGGGGGGGTGGAAAGGGGGGGGAACAACGCCACGTTTGGCGCCGGCGCCGTCTGGGAACGTCAAGGAGCACCAAAAGACAAGTCGGACGTTAGCACGAATCGTGACTTTACCTTGGCGGGGGGGGTGGCAGCCAGGGCCGGTAACTGCCGCTATCGCGACACACATCGGGCTCAAGAGACGGGGGTCAATGTAAACGGGGGTCAGCCAGGGCGCCAGATCTTGCAGGATCCTTCAGGGCCAAGGGTGCACTGACCCGGGCTTGCGTGCAGGATCTTGCAGGATCCTGCAGGGTCGTCCAGGATCCTGCAACGCCCGACGAACCCAGGTTTGGATTGACCCTGGCCAGTAGATCCCCGAACATCCCTGAGATCCGACGTCTCGAGAATTGAACCATCGTGATGAAACCACGACTGGAGCCCCGGACCCCATCTGTCTTCGCCATTTCTCGAGCCCGATCGATCTGTGAGGGCCCCCGGGCCCGAAACTGGACGAAATTGGCCGTCTCCAAAAAGTTGAGTCGCCAGGATCTCAGGGTGAGCAACCGCAGGAGGAGTCTCGGGGCACTCCCGGGGGGCCATTGCGCGGCGGCCGCGGGGGCCGTCTTTGGGGGCAGCCTCGGGGCCTTGCGGAGGAGCGCCGCGGAGAGAGGCGGCGTGGCACACTGCGCGGCCGTGGCGCGGCATTCCGCGCCGCACTCTGCGCGGCGCTGCTTGGCGCGGCTCGGCAGGGCGTGGCGAGGCAGCAGGGGGCCAAGGCAGAGGAGCCAAGGGACCACCGGGACCGAGGAGCCAGGGAGCAGAGGAGCCAAGATGCCCTGGAGCCGAGACGCCGAGGAGCCAAGCCTGGGGACCAGGGAGGCAGGGCAGCGAGACGCCGAGGGGCCAAGGCACCAGGGCCAGCCAATACACCAAGGAGCCGAGACCGAGGAGCCAGGGGACCCAGGAGCCCAAGGAACCCGGGAACCCAGGAGCCCAAGAGCCGAGGCCCAGGAGCCAGGAAGCCCAGGGAGCCCGAGGCCAGGGAGCCCAGGCCCTCCTGTAGGGAAGCGCCCGACTGGGGAGGGACCTCCCCCGCGCCCCGCAGTGAGCGCGGGGTTCCCCCCTCCCCCCGCGGCTGGGGTCCACCTCGCCTCCCCGGGGCGCGCCGCGCCATGTGGTGGAGCGCCTGTGGCGCCGGGCGGTTGCCCGCGGCGAGGCCTCGACTTGGGGCTGTCCGTTCGGGCCGGAGGCGAAGGGCTGTCCGCTCGGGCCGGAGGCCAAGGTGCGCTGCACGGTCGGCCCGAGTTCGAGGATCGAGCTCGGCTCGGGGAGGGCGCCCTGCCGTTCTTCGTGCCTGTCGGATATGTTTTTGGGGGCCTCCCGGGGGAGGGTGCCCTCGGGGATCTTGTGTGGTTTCGGGTGTTGTGGCCGGCGCGCATTGGTGCAGACGACTCCTGCCTCGCCGCCGAGGTACAAGCGTTTTGGCCGGCGGAGGGTCTTCTGTCCTAGGCCCGACCGTATGTTTGCCTCGACGAGGTGGTGGTGGTGGTGGTGGTGCTGCTGGTGGATGCTGGTGGGGGGCTCATGTGCCCAGGATCGCTCTGGCGGAACGCAGGCGTTCCAGGGGCAGCTCGCGAGCGACGTGAGCCACGTTTGCAGTCTGACTCTGCCGTTGCTCAGGCCGCGACCCGTGACTGACCAGGCTTTGTGCTCGCACGGGGCCGTGACCTTGACCCTGGGTTCGACACGCCTGTCCGCGGCAGAGCGCGATGGCGGGCTTTCTGTGCTGAACTCGTGGCTGAAGTACGAAATCGGGGCCCTGAAGCTGCAGCTCCGCGAGCGGATCACGCGCTGGTGCCACAACATGTACATGCGCCCAGGCGAGCTCACCTTCTACAAAGCCAACCGCGTGGGGGAGCACAGAATAGAAAACTTCTCCCATCAGCTCACCTCGGACGTGGATCACTTCAGCATCTGCTTCACGGAGGTGCTGTCGGACTCTTTGAAACCGATGGCCGACTTCCTGGTCTACTCAGTGCTCCTGACCCAGTCGCAGGGGTTGGCCACGCCGCTGACGCTGTATGCGTGGTTCGCGTGCGCCACCCTGATCTCCGACAGGGTCAGCCCGTCCTGGGGCGAGCTTGCTGCCACCAAGCAGCACCTGGAGGGGCGCTTCGTCCGCTGCCACGCGCACCTCATCGAGAGCTGCGAGCAGGTGGCGTTCCTCGGCGGCGAGGAGCCAGAGAAGCACGTGCTGGACTGTACGTTCGACAAGCTCTTGGCCCATGTCTGGCGAAGCCTGGACCTCTCCTTCAGGGCGGAGGTCGTCACCCAGTATCTCAAGAAGTACTTCCCAACCGTCATCGGGCTCTACCTCATAGCGCGCCCGCTGAGGCTGCGGAGCGCGAGCTCCCCCACCGGCGGCCTCTCGAGCGACCAGGTGGCGCAGTACTTCACTTCCTCGTGGCAGAACCTGACCGTGTTCGCGTCCGCCATCCAAGCTCGAAGAACAACAAACGGCACGAGCATACTCTTTCGGAGGGGCGCGTGGATGTTTCTCGGACCGGCGCCGGCGCCCCCTGCCTGGCGCGCGGAGCGCGCCCAGAGCGCGCCCAGAGCGCCGCAGGCGCCGCCGAGGGGGGCGCTGGCGCGGATGCGAGAAACCCGCGCGGACCTCCGAGGAAGAAGGAGGAGGAAGAGGAGGAGGAGGAGGAGGAGGAGGAGGAGGAGGAGGAGGAGGAGGACGGAGGACGGAGGAGGAGGAGGAGGAGGAGGAGGAGGAGGAGGAGGAGGAGGAGGGAGAAGGAAAAGAGAAGGAGGAGGAGGAGGAGGAGGAGGAGGAGGAGGAGGAGGAGGAGGAGGAGGACGAGGAGAGGAGGAGGAGGACGGAGGAGGAGGAGGAGGAGGACGGAGGCAGAGGACGGAGGAGGAGGAGGGAGGACGGAGGGAGGAGGAGGAGGAGGAGGAGGAGGAGGAGGAGGAGGAGGAGGAAAGTCATGTTTGTGCAGTTTTTGGTCCTTCGGCAAGCGCTCCTGAACGCCTCGCGCCGGCTGGAGACCCTGAGCGGCTACGCCGGCAGGGTCAGCAGGCTGATGGGCGGCCTGGAGCAGCGCCCGCCCGTGCTGCAGGAGGAGCTGGAGCTGGCCAGACGGGGGGCGCACCCTCCCGAGCTGCTGGAGGGTCCCACGCTGAAATTCGAGCACGTCTAGGGGAACGAAAAATGACATCAACATGAAAACTCGGAGGTCCGCGCGGATTTCTCGGACCAGCGCTGGACCCCCCTCCCTGGCGCGCGGAGCGTGCCAGGGGCGGCGCCGGAGGCGCCGCCAGGGGGGTCCAGTGCCGATCCGAAACATCCGCGCGGACCTCCGAGTTTTTATGTGTATGCTATTATTCGTTCGCCTAACGTCACAGTCTACAAGCCAGACGGCACCCTCCTGGTGAAGGACCTGAACCTCTGCGTGGAGCCTGGGCAGCGGGTTCTGATAACCGGGGAGAACGGCTGCGGCAAGTCTAGCCTCTTCCGGGTGATGAGGCGCCTGTGGCCCCTGGTGGAGGGCAGGATCACCATGCCGTCTGGCAAGATCCACTTCCTCACGCAGGCGAGCTTTGTGCCGGTGGGGACGCTGCGTGACGTGGTCATCTACCCGCAGTCCAGCAGCGAGATGCTCTCGCAGGGGCGAACCGACAGGGAGGTGCACGCGTGCCTCAGGTGGGCCTTCGTCTCTCCGCAGGTGATACGAGACGGGAGGGCGCAACTGGAATTTTCGGAGAAGCACGGCCGCGTGGTGCGTCCAGAGCTGGGCGACGTAATGGACTGGCGGAAAGAGCTGTCGCCGGGCCAGAAGCAGAGGCTCCTCCGCCAAAGGCTGTCCATGTCCACCGCGTCGGTGTCGTGCCCTGGGGTTGCGAGGAGCGGTGGACGCGGATATCTGCCCGCCCGCGCATGCGGGCAGATATCCGCATCCACCGCTCCTCGAGTCTTAAGTCGGGCACGTCCCTCTGCAGGAGGAAAATGCAAAGATGGTCAAACAAAAACAGCCAGGGACGATGGTTCGGAGTATTTTTGTTGACCATTTTTTGTTTATTAATCGTCCAAAATCCACCTGTAGGAGAACATTCAGGAGGGACAAAAACACATAGACACAATTAATTATCGATTCCCCAGAAAATATAGAAAATATGGGAAGTGGGGGGGAAGACGACAACCCAGAAAACATAGGAAAATATGGGGAATCCTGTTATTTGTGTCTATTTATTTGTGTGTCCCAGGGTCCCTTCAGACATGCCCGACCTAACCCGAGTCCCTGGTACACGACACCGCGGCAGTGGAGGTGGACACGCTTCTGGCGGCGCAGAGGCTTGCGTTCGCCAGGCTCTTCTATCACCGACCCGCCTATTCGGGGGTGGACAGACCTTCTACCCTGACACGTCGATTAGCGAATTGGCCGTTTTCGGTTCGCGAGAGGGCGTCGCGGCCGTCATTTTTGCGGGTCCAGGTCCGTCGGTTTCGGTCCCAGGCCGTTTTCATGAAAGGGAGGTTTACTAAAGGGAGGTTTGTCCACCGCCGACCTATGCTATCCTGGACGAGTGCACGAACGGTGTGTCCCCGGACGTCGAGCACGAGCTGTACAGCCGCTGCGCTAAGCTGAAGCTGGGGGTGCTGTCGATCGCGCACAAGACGGAGCTCAAGCTGTTCCACGACTACGAGCTCCACTACAATGCCGACGCGCATGGTTCCTGGACCCTGTCGCAGTGCTCGGAGACCCTGGACAAGGTGGGTCAATCTCAGTGTGGGAATGTCAGTGTGCTAGAGGCTCTCTAGCGACGGAGAAGAAACGTCATAGCCATGAACCTTTGGATGTCCGCGCGGATTTCTTCGATCTTCGCTGGAACATGCAGGCGGCGCCTCCGGCGCCGCCCCTGGTTCTGGCGCCGCCCATAGTGCGCTCCGCGCGCCAGGAAGGGGGGTCTCGCGCCGATCCAAGAAATCCGCGCGGTCCTCCGAAAGCCTAAATTTCTGCCGCTTTCCTTTTTTACCTAACAGCGAAGACTGATAGGTTTCCAGTGGTGTCAAAAGAGAGCATCTGATGACTCAGAAGGGAGGTCTGGGCGGCATCCGGACAGCGAGGGCCGGGCTCAGGGCCGGGCTCGTTTTAAGCAAACTGCAAGCCACTTCGTGCTCTTCGACCTCCCAGAACTCCATTCCCGGGCCACATTTTGAATGCCCGGAGCCAACTGTAGGCCATTTCGTGGTCTTCGACTTCCCAGAACTCCATTCCCGGGCCACATTTTGAATGCCCGGAGCCAACTGTAGGCCACTTCGTGGTCTTCGAGTTCCCAGAACTCCATTCCCGGGCCACATTTTGAATGCCCGGAGCCAACTGTAGGCCACTTCGTGTCTTCGAGTTCCCAGAACTCCATTCCTGGGCATGATTTTGAATGCCCGGAGCCAACTGTAGGCCACTTCGTGTTCTTCGAGTTCCCAGAACTCCATTCCCGGGCCACATTTTGAATGCTGAGGCAGGCTGAGGCTGAGGCTGAGGCAGGCTGAGGCTGAGGCAGGCTGAGGCTGAGGCCGAGGCTGAAGGCAGACTGAGGCTGAGGCTGAAGCAGGCTGAGGCTGAGGCTGAGGCAGGCTGAGGCTGAGGCTGAGGCAGGCTGATGCTGAGGCAGGCTGAGGCTGAGGCTGAGGCTGATGCAGGCTGAGGCTGAGGCAGGCTGAGGCTGAGGCCGAGGCTGAAGGCAGACTGAGGCTGAGGCTGAAGCAGGCTGAGGCTGAGGCTGAGGCAGGCTGAGGCTGAGGCTGAGGCAGGCTGATGCTGAGGCAGGCTGAGGCTGAGGCTGAGGCTGATGCAGGCTGAGGCTGAGGCAGGCTGAGGCTGAGGCCGAGGCTGAAGGCAGACTGAGGCTGAGGCTGAAGCAGGCTGAGGCTGAGGCTGAGGCAGGCTGAGGCTGAGGCTGAGGCAGGCTGATGCTGAGGCAGGCTGAGGCTGAGGCTGAGGCTGATGCAGGCTGAGGCTGAGGCAGGCTGAGGCTGAGGCCGAGGCTGAAGGCAGACTGATGCTGAGGCTGAAGCAGGCTGAGGCTGAGGCTGAGGCAGGCTGAGGCTGAGGCTGAGGCAGGCTGAGGCTGAGGCAGGCTGAGGAGGCTGAGGCTGATGCAGGCTGAGGCTGAGGCAGGCTGAGGCTGAGGCCGAGGCTGAAGGCAGACTGAGGCTGAGGCTGAAGCAGGCTGAGGCTGAGGCTGAGGCAGGCTGAGGCTGAGGCTGAGGCAGGCTGATGCTGAGGCAGGCTGAGGCTGAGGCTGAGGCTGATGCAGGCTGAGGCTGAGGCAGGCTGAGGCTGAGGCCGAGGCCGAGGCAGACTGAGGCTGAGGCTGAAGCAGGCTGAGGCTGAGGCAGAGGCAGGCTGAGGCTGAGGCTGAGGCAGGCTGAGGCTGAGGCAGGCTGAGGCTGAGGCTGAGATGCAGGCTGAGGCTGAGGCCGAGGCTGAAGGCAGACTGATGCTGAGGCTGAAGCAGGCTGAGGCTGAGGCTGAGGCAGGCTGAGGCTGAGGCTGAGGCAGGCTGATGCTGAGGCAGGCTGAGGCTGAGGCTGAGGCTGATGCAGGCTGAGGCTGAGGGAGGCTGAGGCTGAGGCCGAGGCTGAGGCAGACTGAGGCTGAGGCTGAAGCAGGCTGAGGCTGAGGCTGAGGCTGAGGCAGGCTGAGGCTGAGGCTGAGGCAGGCTGAAGGCCGAGCGCAGGGCCTGATGCAGCTGAGGAGCAGAGCAAGGCTGAGCTGAGGCCGAGCTGCGCTGAGGCCGAGCTGAAGGCAGACTGAGCTGAGGCTAAGCAGGCTGAGGCTGAGGCTGAGGCAGGCTGATGCAGGCTGAGGCTGCGGCAGGCTGAGGCTGAGGCTGAGGCTGAAGGCAGACTGAGGCTGAGGCTGAAGCAGGCTGAGGCTGAGGCTGAGGCTGAGGCAGGCTGAGGCTGAGGCTGAGGCAGGCTGATGCTGAGGCAGGCTGAGGGTGAGGCTGAGGCTGATGCAGGCTGAGGCTGAGGCAGGCTGAGGCTGACGCCGAGGCTGAAGGCAGACTGAGGCTGAGGCTGAAGCAGGCTGAGGCTGAGGCTGAGGCAGGCTGAGGCTGAGGCTGAGGCAGGCTGATCCTGAGGCAGGCTGAGGCTGAGGCTGAGGCTGATGCAGGCTGAGGCTGAGGCAGGCTGAGGCTGAGGCCGAGGCTGAAGGCAGATTGAGGCTGAGGCTGAAGCAGGCTGAGGCTGAGGCAGAGGCAGGCTGATGCTGAGGCTGAGGCAGGCTGATGCTGAGGCAGGCTGAGGCTGAGGCTGAGGCTGATGCAGGCTGAGGCTGAGGCAGGCTGAGGCTGAGGCTGAGGCTGAAGGCAGACTGATGCTGAGGCTGAAGCAGGCTGAGCTGGGTGAGGCAGGCCTGAGGTTGAGGCAGCTGAGGCGAGGCTGAGGCGGGCTGGGCAGGCTGGAGGCTGTGACTGCGACTCGGCCGTTTCCGGCACTCGACTCGGCATCGCGAATGCGACTACGACTGCGAGAACAGCAAAATTCTCTACAACAGGATTCTCATCTGAATCGTAAGGTGAATGGCTTCCAGATATGCTCCTACCATCGCTGGTAGTTGCTTTGTCCCGGGATATTTTTTTCCCCACAGATCCTGAGTGGGGTTCTTGTTTTCCCAGAAACACCCTCATCTTTTTCCCACCGCCCTCCCCGCTCCATCTTCCATACACACCATATTACATCCTACCACACACACCATACCGTACCTAGTTTTTCCTACCACACATAACCATACCATACCTCCACAATACCATACCATACCATACCATACCATACCACACCATACGTACCATACCGTACCATACCATACCATGGCGTACCATAGCATACCATACCATATCACCCCAATGCCACACCGTACCATACCATACCATACCTCCAGTACCATACCATACCATATCATACCATACCGTACCATACCATACCTACCATACCATTCCATACCACTCCATACCGAAAACCATACTACTTACATGGTTTCGTGCCCCTCGCACCCCTCCAGGGAGGCCCCGCCTGAGCGAGGAGGGTATCGGAAAACCATACTATTTACATGGTTTCGTGCCCCTCCCACCCCTCCAGGGAGGCCCCGCCTGAGCGAGGAGGGTATCGGAAAACCATACTATTTACATGGTTTCGTGCCCCTCCCACCCCTCCAGGGAGGCCCCGCCTGAGCGAGGAGGGTATCCGGAAACCATACTATTTACATGGTTTCGTGCCCCTCCCACCCCTCCAGGGAGGCCCCGCCTGAGCGAGGAGGGTATCCGAAAACCATACTATTTACATTGTTTCGTGCCCCTCCCACACCTCCAGGGAGGCCCCGCCTGACCGAGGAGGGTATCCGAAAACCATACTATTTACATGGTTTCGTGCCCCCCCCACCCCTCCAGGGAGGCCAGCCTGAGCGAGGAGGGTATCCGAAAACCATAGTATTTACATGGTTTCGTGCCCCTCCCACCCCTCCAGGGAGGCCCCGCCTGAGCGAGGAGGGTATCGGAAACCCATACTATGTACATGGTTTCGTGCCCTTCCCACCTCCCCAGGGAGGCCCCACCTCTCCAGCTTTTCGTTCGTGTTGATGTTGTCGTACCCCCTGGGTCCCACGAGACCGTTAATATCTTTATGTGGGGAACTCCGTTCGCATAATTTGCGCAAACATGTGCGGCATGCTCCGAGTTCATTCAGATGGCTGGGCTTCACACGGTCCGTGGGCCAAAACATGTTCGACTTCGCGAACAGGGGCGGGGCGATCAAAGATTGGTACTGCGCTGCCCCTCAGGGCATGTGGAAGCAGCAGTCATACCCTGGCATTAATGTCACGCTGCTTTGCGAGTCCACCGCCATATTTCACGAAGCGCGGGGTGAACCACAACCCGAGGGGACAAAGCCCCTTCACATGTGCATACACAACCAAACTGCGGGGTGTTATGCATACTGTCAGGGCGGAGCCACCCTCACATCCATCGCAACATTTGACCAAGAGGAAAAGTCAACTTCGACAGTCGTAATATTTTCGCGACAAGGTCTGATGCGCGTTGTCGTGTATTGCTGTGGAGTGAAAGCGGGTTGGGCGTGGCGCCGCGCCGGAAGCGGATATTCAACAGTACTTCGATCTGGAGGCGAATCTGTTGGAGCAAGTGAAGCAGCTGGTGGACATGCAGGCCGGGTGCGCCCAAAGAGATCATACTTACATGGTCGTCCTGGGACTGGGCGATGCCCAGTCCTGGGGGATCCTTCCCACCAGCGGCGATTTCATTACTTGGAAGATGCTAGCGAGCCGGGTTGCTGCCGTCGCCAGCAACAGGATAAGATACTGGGAAGAGGCAGGGCTCCCATGCAGGACGCTATAGGGGCGAGGGTCGGAGCTGTGCAAAAACGGAGAACACCCTGCCGGCGACTCATGGAATTCCACAGTGGGCCCTGGCCAACCCTATGTGAGGGAGATGGCCAGGTATACAGCGAATGCCCGCAGAGTCTGAATCGAGGTGAACGCCAGCCCAGAGAAAAATCCGGAGGGCAGGCCATGCCCGCATCGAAGACGAGACGCTGCGGAAAGCCAAGCCTCCTCGCCCAGAGCGAGTAGAGTGTTTTGCCAACCGTTTGCCATACGAAGAAAATCGGTGCCGTCTGTTAGCAGACATGGCATACGCGCAATCCCTCCTATCAGCCTTGGTGACATTCCCCGCATGCCCCCTGATTGTGGACCCCGT